ATTATTATTATTATTATTATTATTATTATTATTATTATTATTATTATTATTATTATTATTATTATTATTATTATTATTATTATTATTATTATTATTATTATTATTATTATTATTATTATTATTATTATTATTATTATTAGGGCTGGGCGATGTGGCTAAAAAAATGATCACGATGTCACGATTAAAATTATCACGATAATTTTCCCCATATCGGTCGATAATTATCACGATAAATGTCACATTTTTTATTTCTTTTAAGTTTAAAGGCAGAATTTTGCAAACAGGTTTGTGTTGCCTGATAATATTAATATAACATTTTTTTTTGTCTCTTAGAAATACACATTTAATAGTAGCTTGAGATAAGATGCAGATGTAGATTTATGTTCATTATCAAAATCAGTAATATCTGTAAAAATGGTAGCAATCTTTTTTTTTATCCATTGGTCTTCCATAGTAGCATACATTTAGATCATGATAATCACAGTTAAAACCACAAATATAGCACCTCAATACCATGGTAAAAATGTAATATGGTTTCTAGGTATTATTATTATTATTAAATGTAAAAATCTAACCTTTATTGAACCTGTACAGGAGTGTCATGGCCAATATAGGCAGCCCAAATAACTTGCACACATGCACACAAAACCTATACAAACACAAAACATGCAACATTAAAATATATATATTATTAAATAATTAATTTTAAATACTAGCATTTTAGCAAAAATAATATCTTTGATTTTTTCATATTAATACAGTCCATTTATTCTTTCAATCACAGGTATGAACCCAGTCAACTTGAATTTCATATTATTGCCACAATTCTATTATTATTATGAATATTAATAACACTAATAATTTTTATATGTATGCATAGTAGCAACAGTAATCTTTTTTGCACAAAAAATTCAACCCATTAACCTTTATTTTTTTATTCATATTTTCGCAACTTAAATTATTGTTGCATAATACATATATTTTTTTATATCAGCATTTTATTACACAACAAAGTACAGTGCAATTTACAGTAGTTTCTTCATTTCAAATCTGAGATGTTTTATTTTATATCATAATCAATATGTTCTGGACCACATATTACATATTTCATTAAAGGGGTCATCGGATGCACATTTTCCACAGGTTGATATGATTCTTTAGGATCTTAATGAAAAGTCTATAACATACTTTGGTTAAAATTTCTCAATGGTAGTGTAAACAACATCCTTTTTACCCTGTCAAAAACAGCTCTGTTCACAGCAACCCGTTTTGGTGCATGTCTCTTTAAATGCTAATGAGCTCTGCTGACACAGGGTGGATTTTTATTATTATAGGGTGGTTGTGTCTACACACTGCCAACACACATTAATGTTCAAACAGCATGTAAAAGTGAATTTTGCATCTGGTGACCCCTTTAAAGCAGCTCTATGTAACTTTTGGTGCTCTAGCGGTTAATAAACAGAACTGCACACATCCCGCGGAAGAACATTCCAACCGGAGCTACTTCTCTAAATTTATGTCTCTGGCGATTCACGCAGGTGTGTGTTACTCCGCAGCGGTGACCAGCCTACAATAGTCCAAATATAAGCACTTATTATAAGTGTACTGGAGTGATTCGGAATAAGACAAAAACGCGGTTTGGAAGATGAATTCATGATGTACTCGCTCATTATATACATTTTGCAAATTTTGAACACAGAAAAAGTTACATAGTGCTGCTTTAACAATATTTTTTTCTGGTTTATAAAAACATATGGAAATCACTAAAAACGCCCCCTATGGGCGCAAATTAAAAACCATTACAACACGAGAACGCTATATTCAACTTATAAATGAATCCGATCACACAATTACAATTTATATTCATGTCATCCTTTATTCTATTTTTGACTTCATTATGTCCCCGGATGGGGATGCACCGCTCTCGGAAGTAGTGCAATACCGAGTCGATGCGTGGAGTGGATGGAGCAAGCCCCTATTCCATCTCCCGTATCCAAAAATCAATTTAATATATAGTCCCCATATAAAGGACGTATCAGATATTAAACTGATAAGAACAAATACTACACTTGATCTTAGCCAAAAGGCCGAGAAGCGATGACAACAAACTCTCAGCGCTGATGGAGTGATTCAGCGCGCTACACATCTGAGTGACGGTGAGACACGAACGAGCTCCTGAGAAACACCTCAAACTACACACACTCACTCACTCACTCACTCACTCACAGAAACACACACACACACACAGAAACACTCACACAC